GGCCCCCTCTGACCCCCTGTTTCCCCCCTGCAGGGGTTTTTCCGGCGGAGCATCCAGAAGAACATGGTGTACACGTGTCACCGGGAGCGCAACTGCCAGATCGACAAGGTCACCCGCAACCGGTGCCAGTTCTGCCGCCTCCAGAAGTGCTTCCAGGTCGGAATGTCCAAGGAAGGTGCGAGGTGGTCTGGGCCTGGGTCCCCCGAAGTTGGGGACCCCCCCCCAAACTTCGCTGAGGGGCCCTGGTGGTGTTCTGGTGGGCCTGGGGATGTTCCTGTTCTTGGCAGGGATTTGGGAAGGATTTGGTGCTGTGGAAGGGACTGCTGGGTGTGAGACTTTCCCCCCTTGGTCCTACAGGGGAGTTGGCTAAAATTGAGATCCCTCCAAAGCTTTGCTGAGGGGTCCCAGGATCCTGGGTCTGCTCACGGTGGGGATGTTCCTGTCCCATGGGGGGATTTCTGGGGGAGAGGGGCAGAAACCCCACCTGGGAGGGATCTGAGGGGGCAAACCAATGCCCCTGACCCCCAAACGCCGCCCCCCAGCTGTGCGGAATGACCGGAACAAGAGGAAGAAGGAGGTGAAGCAGGATTTGGGAGGAGATGAGCTGAGCCCCGAGCTGGCCGAGCTGGTGCGGAGAGTCAGCAGAGCCCACCAGGAGACCTTCCCCTCGCTGGGCCAGCTGGGCAAGTACACCACGGTGAGCAGGGCTGGGGACACCGAGGCGGGGCCCCAACCCTCCCTCGCTCCTCAGATCTGGGGCAGGGCCGCTGCTCCCTCCTGGTCCCCCCCAGACATGAGCACTGGGGGCAGCTGGGGCTGGGACAGATGTTCAGGGGGCGTGGGGCACCAGGTTTCTGTTCCCAGGGTGGTGTGGGAGTCCTTTTGGGGCAGACCCCAACCCCAGCCCTCACACGTACAATTGCGTCTGTGTTCCCCCCTGCCCCCTTCAAAACATAAGTGCTGAGCACTGGGGGGGTTGGGGGACAAGTTCAGGGGGAGGGGGGCACTGGGGTGAAGTGTTGGGGGTTGTGGGTGGTGTTTGGGGGGGGTTACTTATGGGAGGGACCCTAACCCTGGAGCTCAGAGCAGGGTCTCTGCACACCCTCACCCCTGAAATCTCAACTGCTGAGTAAGGGGGGCAGCTGGACCTGGGGCTGGAGTTGGGTTCAGGGGCTGGGGGTCATTGAGTACCAGCAGCTTCCAGGGGGTCCCAGCAGGTCCTGAACCCCCATAACTGAGCCTGTGTCCCTTATAAATTGAGCACTGACTGCATGGTGCAGCTGGACCTGGGGCTGGGGGTTACTGAGATTGGGGTCTTGGGGGGTCCCAGTTGTCCCAGGGAGTCCCAATCCACCCTGAATCCTCACAACTGAGCCCATGCTCCCCCAAAGCTGAGCGCTGGCCACTGGGTGCAGCTGGACCTGGCGATGTGGGACAAGTTCAGGGTGCTGGGGTTAGGGTCCCAGAGGTTCCAGGGGCTCCAGAACAATCCCCCAACAGCCATGGTCCCCCTCCCGTGCCCCCAGAACTCGAGCGCTGACCACCGGGTGCAGCTGGACCTGGGGCTCTGGGACAAGTTCAGCGAATTGGCCACCAAGTGCATCATCAAGATCGTGGAGTTTGCCAAGAGGCTCCCGGGCTTCACGGGGCTCAGCATGGCCGACCAGATCACTCTGCTCAAGGCTGCCTGCCTCGACATCCTGGTGAGGGTTGGGGGGGCTCCTCAGGATGTTTGGGGGCTTCTTGAAGGGGCTTGGGATGGCCCACGATGGTCCTGACCTCACCACCCCACAGATGGACGTCCTGAGAGGGGCTGGGAGGTCTCCTGGCAGGGCCTGGGTGGGTTTAGGGTAAGAAACTTCGGGGTCTCTTAGGTGCTTTTGGTGGCCTTGGGCTATTTTGGGGTGTCTCTGGCCCTGACCTTCCCCGGTGCTGTGTCTGTCCTGTGGCAGAGCCAGAACAGGACATGACAATGCTCCAGGATGGGCAGATCCTGGGTGGATTTTGGGGTCCCTGCCCTGCAGATGCTGTAGATTTGCACCTGCTTCATTCCAGAGCAGGACACAGTGATGGGATGGGCTGACCCTGGGTGGATTTTTGGTGCCCCTGGAGGTATTTTTGGGCCGGATTTTTGGTATCCCTGTGTGGATTCTATTGCCCTTGAGTGATTTTGGTGACCGTGGATGTATTTTTGGTGTTTCTGGATGTATTCTGGTGCCCCTTGGTGATTTTGGGGTCCGTGCCCTACAGATGCTGCGGATCTGCACCCGCTACACGCCAGAGCAGGACACGATGACGTTCTCGGATGGGCTGACGCTGACCCGGACCCAGATGCACAACGCGGGATTCGGGCCCCTCACTGACCTCGTGTTTGCCTTCGCGGGGCAGCTGCTGCCGCTGCAGCTCGATGACACCGAGACCGGCCTGCTCAGTGCCATCTGCCTCATCTGTGGGGGTGGGGACATCGGGGGATGTGACATGGGCGTGTATCAGGGATGTGGCAGGCAGGGGGACATGGGGACACGGGACTGAGTTGTAGGAGGGGGACGTGAGGGGATGCTGAAGGAGGGGACATGGGGATATATCTAGGACAGAAGATGGGCATGTGGGAACATGGGGATGCAGGGACAGGGGAAATGGGGACAATGTCTATCCAGCTGGTCTCTCTCTCCCCAGACCGGATGGAGCTGGAGCAGCCCCGGCGCGTGGAGCGGCTGCAGGAGCCGCTGCTCGAGGCTCTCCGGGTCTACGCCCGGCGCCGGCGCCCGTGGCAGCCGCAGCGTTTCCCCCAGATGCTGCTCAAAATCACTGACCTGCGTGGTATCAGCACCAAGGGTGAGCAACCCCCAGGTCCCCGGGGCCCTGCCAGGACCCCAGAACCCCCCAAACCCCCTTGGGATCCCCCCAAAACCACCTAGCCACAGTGATCTTCCCAAATGCTGTTCAAAGGGGCAACCCCCAAACCTTCCCAGGACCCCTCCAGGATGCCAAAACCCATCAGGACACCCCCAAACCTGCCCCTGGCACCACAGGATTTGAAGGTCTCAGGGAGGTGTAGTTGAAGGTCCTGGGGGTGTTTCAGGGTTTTGGGGGGAGGGGGTTTGAAGCTCATTTTGAGGGTGTTCAAAGTATGTGGGGAGGTTCAAGGTTTTGAAGGCGTTGAAGCTTTTGCAGGGTTTTGAAAGCTGGGGACTGTTGAAATTTGGGAGGGCAATTGAAGTTCATTTTTGGGTGGGATTCAAAGCCTCAGCGCAGGGGAACTCAATCTCTTGTGGGGGCTGTCAAGGCTTTGCAGTGATTGAAGCTCATTTTGGTGGAGGGGTCCAAGGTTTTTGGGGCTTCAGAGTTTTGCAAGGGGTTGAAATTTGAGAGGCTGTTGAATCTCATTTTGTGGAAGGGGGTTCCATCTCTCAGGAGGGGTGGCCCGAGTTCAGGGGTGTTGACATTTTGGCTCCCCCAGGGGCGGAACGAGCCATCACCCTGCGCACCGAGATCCCGGGGCCGATGCCTCCCCTGATCCGGGAAATGCTGGAGAACCCCGAAATCTTCAACGAAGTGGGGGGGGATGGCCCTCCCCCACCCCCAGACCCTCCTGCCGCCCAGGACAGTCCCCCTGGCCCCCCCACATCCCCATAGCCCCCCCCCAGCTGGGGGGGATCCCCAAAACCCATCCCCAGTGGGGTTGGGACATTCAGAGCTGCCTTCCAGGGACGCTGCCTTCCTTCTCCCTTTCGCTGTGGGGAGGGAGAGCTCCCCAAAGTGCCCCCCCGCCCCGAATGTGGGGAAGGGGGCAGAGACTGACAGAGCAAAGCTATTGCCTTAAGCTGGGGGAGTCTGGGGGCGCCCCCAAACCTCAGCTTCATGCCAAAGCCCCCTCAGACCCTGCTGCCAACCCCCCTTGTACTGGGGGGCCTTGAGAGGGGAGAGTTGGGGACCCCAGCCCCTCCCCACCAAATTAATGTCTGACACTCCCACGGTGCCCCCACAGTTTATTTATTGGACACAGGGTGGAGTCGGGAGGGGGGAGGGAACACCCCCATTCTCCCCCAGGACATCCTACCCCCCAAATCTGTGGGGGACACCATTTATATTGGGGGGAGGGTGGGGGGGCTGCCTGTGGGTTTTGCTTTTTGATGCTGTTGGGATGGGGAGGGAAACCCCAAAATTCCTGTCCCCCAGTGCCCCCCCCCCAAACACTACAGAGACCAAAGATGGGGGACACAATGTGACCCCCACAACCCCCTCCATTTCAGGGTGGGGGCTCAAGCCATAGGGTGACCCCAAAATCCTGGCGGTCCCCCCAGACTCAACTGCCCTCCCAAATCTCTGTTACCCCCAGCCTGGCTGGCTTGTAGGGTCCAGCCTTATTGGCCTCCCTAACAATTGCCCCCCTAAATTTGGGGGTGCAGAGCCCTCAGGGGGAGCCTGTTACACTACACAGAGGGGTTCCCCCCCCGGGCTGCACTTTCATCCCTATTTATTCCTCTGCGTTTACAGCGGGCCCCCCCCTCAGAATGGGCCCCCCCCCACTGCTGCCCCCCCGCTAACTCCCCCCATTTTGGGGGGCCCCCCTGCCATGTTTACAGCCCACCCGCCCTCCTCCCATGCTGTGGGGGGGGGGACACGGGACTTTTCTATTTTTGCAAAATAAAGTTATGGAAATTTTGGGGGGGTTATGAATTTTGGGGGGGGGGGGGGCTGTAAAGGGGACTTGTGGGTAGAGGGGAACCTTGGGACCCCCCCTCGAGGTATGGGGTGGTGGGGGCACATGGGATCCCCTCTGACTTAGGGACCCCTGCAGGGGGAAAATAGACTTGGGGACCCTTCCCCAACTGGGGTGATACCCGAGAATAAGAGGGGCACTCGGGGACCCCCCGAGCCATTTTGCCCCTCCCCAGTTAAAAAACCCTCATAGTCCCAATGTAACCTCCCCTTTCTTTGTTTGGCATGAGTGAGTTCTGGGGTCCCCCCTCACTCCCCCAAAGGACTTAAATTTGGGGTTAAAAAAAGCAAAAACCCAAGTTTTTATTTAAATAAACCCTAAAGGAGGAGGGAGGACACACAGTGCGGGGTGGGGAGACACTGGGGGTACACAGTGGAAAGGGGGAACACAAAATTTGGGGACCCTTAGAAAAATCTACAGTTTAAAAGTGACCCTCCCCCCCCCCCCCCCTAGGGCTGCACCCCTCTTCCCCATTAGCAAAATAACTGTATTAAACCCTAAATCCCAATAAAACACCCCGAAAATGAAGCCTGGGGGGGGGTGTGATGGGGGCTGGGAGCCCTTGCAGGTGGGGAGCCCTGGAGTTCCCCCCCCTTCCCCCAAGAATCCCCCAACCCGCCCCCCTCCCCACTGCCAGGCCCCACAATTTTGGGGGAATAGGCTCAGCAGAGCCAAAGTCCTTCTTGAAGTATCATTGGGGGAGGCCCCAAAATTTGAGCCCCTCCCAAAACTCCCACAGGCCCAGAAAGGGAGTTCAGGGCACAAAAATGAGGAGGGCCAAACTCATCTCTCCTGCCCCTTGCAGCAGTCTGTGATGGGGGGACAGGGACACCCCCAAAATGGTGAGAGCAGGGGCCCACCTCAGTTTTAGGGGGCTGCTCCTGCCCCCGTCACCTCACCCCTGATCCAGGGGTCTTCTTTTCCTCGGAGGGGAAAGGGAAACAGGGGGGCCTCTCGCCCCCCCCCCCCTTTCTCCCCCCCACCTCCCAGCATGGGGGGACATAGGCAGTACCCCAAAACTATGCAGGAGAAGGAGAAATCCTCCAAAATTTGAAGGAGTTCCAGAGGAAATGCGAAGTGCTGCTGAGTGTCCCACAGGATGCTCTGCTCAAGGAGGGGCCCCCAAATTCTTTTTCCTATTTTCCAAAAAACCCACCCCCCTCAAGCTGAGGCACCCCCCAACAGTTTCAGTTTTCCTTCTTTTCCAAAAGAGAGTGATTGATGCTGTTCCCAGCGGGACCCTCCTACCTGTGCACAGGTATCCCGGATCCACTGGGATTTCGGGCAGTTTGGGGGTTCCCAGTTTTTCCTAAGAGGGGGAGGGGTGGATTCAGGGGTATAATGATGGTGGGGGGGCCACTTGAAGATTCCAGGAGGATTTTTGGGATCATAATCCAAGTGTTTAGGCCGGAGGGCAGGAACGATCTGAGTTTTTTCACGTTGGCAGCGCTCAGGTTCTTCCCCATCCTTACAGGGGTGAGAAATCCAGGTGAGGCAGAGCATGGTGATGGGGAGGGGGGGGCCGTGAAGGAAGAAACACCTCCCTCCCGCACCCCCTGAACTTCCCGGAATTCCCAGGTGTTCACAGCAGGAGCTGGGAGTCGGGAGGGGTCTTGGTCTGGCAGCCTTGGCACATGCGCTTGTGTCGGAGTAGCCGGTCTGTGCGGGAGAAGCTCTGCGGGACGAGGTGGGGTCAGGCGTGGGGGCGGCACTGGGACTCCCAGGAGGGGCGCCCGCCCGGAATTCTCCCGGAATTCTCCCGGAATTCTCCCGGAATACGGAATACCTGCATGCAGCGCTCGCACTGGTAGGGCTTCTCCCCGCTGTGCACGCGCTTGTGCCGCTCCAGGTGGTACTTCTGGATGAAGCGCATGTCGCACATGTCGCACTCGAACGGCTTCTCCCCTGCAATTCCGGGCAGCAATTAGCGAGGGGCCGAGCTGCTCATTAGGGGCGGAGCGAGGGGGCGGGGGGCTGCTCATTAACGAGGGCTCATTACCGGTGTGGATGAGGATGTGCCGTTTGAGGTGGTAGCTGCTCCGGAAAGCTCCAAAACAATGGTCGCAGATGAAGTTCTTGAGCTGGAAGGAGCCGTTTTGCTCAATCACCACCATCTGAAATGGGGGGGGATTTGGAGGTTCAGAGCCGGGGGGACCCCCAGCAGCCCCGCAAATCCCCCCCCCCGGCCGTCCTGCGCCTGCCGGAGTTTGGGAGATTGTCTTCCTCCTCCTTCTCCTCGTGCGGCGCGGCGGCAAACCTGGGATCCTCGGCGGGAGGAGCTCGGGGGTCCCTCGGCGCCGGGAACCCGCTTGCGGCGCTGCCGGGGGGGCGAGGGGGTGTCAGCGGCCCCCGAGACGGCCCCCGACCCCCCCAGACCCCAAAATCAAAGGGGGGACCCCCCGCTGGGGGAGGGGACCTGCCTTTTTCATGGATTTCTTGGGGTTGGAGGCCTCAGGAGCATCATCGTCCTTGCGGGCGCGGGGCTTGTCGGGGTCCTGGCGGAGGGACTGGGGGGCACAGGAATTGGGGGGGGGTTGGAGAGGGAGGGTTTGGGGGGCACGGATTGGGAGGGGTTGGGAACAGGGCAGGAATTGGGATGGGGGATTGGGAAGAGGGGATTGTGGGACCAAGAAGTGGAGGGGAGAGGTTTGAGAAGGGGTGATTGGGGGGCAAGAATTGGGATGGGGGGATGGGGGCAGGGATTGAGGGGTTTGGGAAGGGGGAAGGAATTGGGGGGCAATTGGGGGGCCAGGAATTGAGAGGGATTAGGAAGGGGGCAGGAATTGGGGGGGGGAGGGATTGGGAAGGGGGGATGGGCAAGCAGGAATTGGGGCAGGTTGGGGGAGCAGGAATTAGGGGGCAGGAAATTGGGGAGGGGGGTTCAGGATGAGCAGGGAATGGGGAGGTTGGGGGATAATGGAATTGAAGTGGAAACAATGGAATTAGAACAGGAAAATCCAAGGCAAGAAAAGAACCAATAAAAGAGGAAAAATCCAAATGAAGGAGGAAAAGTCCAATAAAAGAAAGCAAAGGGCAGGTGAAGGAAAGATAATCAATTAAGGGCCAGAAATGGGAAATTAAAGGATAAAAACTCAAAGCAGAAAAAGGTCAAATGAGAAGTGAGACATTGAAACTAAAGCAGGAAAACTAGAGGAGGAAAAACTCAAAAAAAGGCAGGAAAAAGCCAAATTAGAAGTGGGAAGGGTCAAATAAAATATAGAAAAGGATGACTAAAGGGAGAAAACCTCAAATTCGAGGAGAAAAAATTCAAATCCAAGGAGGAAGAGGCAAATTAAAGGTGGAAAATGGCAAATTTGGGGCAGAATAGCCCAAATTAACGCAGGAAAAAAAATTAGTTGAAAACACCCAAATACAAGCTGGAAAAAAAGAAATTCAATGTAGAAAAAGCAAATTAAAGGTGGACACCCCCAATTTAAGTGTAGAAATACCCAAATTAAAGGTGGAAAACTCCAAATTAAATCAGGAAACACCCAAATTAAAGGCGTGAGAAGCCAAACTAAAGGCATAAACCCCCAAATGAAAGGGCAAAATCCCCCAGTTAAAGGTGGGATCCCCCAGTGGAAGGTGCCAGATCCCAGCCAGGGCTTCCCGCTCCATACCAGGAGGTCAGGGCTGGAGCCCCGTTCCCGGTTCCCGTCCTGCTTCCCGCCGGATTTGGGCATCATCTTCTTGCTGGCAACGGTGGGGACGAGGCAGACGCCCGAGAGCCCCTCGCAGGCCAGGAGACTCGCCTGGAAACGGGAGGAACCCCCAGGATCAGCCCCACAGCCCCGGAACACCGGGGTGCACCCCGCAGGGGCTGTGGGGCAGCAGCCCCCTGCTCCCGGGAGGATCTCGAGGGAAATTTGGGATGATCCTGGGGAAGATTTCAGGGGAAATTTGGGATGATCCCAGAATAATTCTGGGAAGACACCAAAGTGGAACAGAGGGGGCTGAACCCTCTTCTTTCAGCACAATGAGGATTTAAGGTCAAATGGAAAAATTCAAGGGGATTTACAGCAACTTCGGGATAATCCTGTGGAAAAGTGGGATAAATCAATTGTAAAATGGGAAGACCCTAAAACTGGGAATGGAGGAGGTTGAACCCCCTTTTTTGAGGCCTGTTGGGACCTAAGAGTTAATGGGAAATTAGGGGATAATCCCAGGAAAAAAAAAAAAAAAAAGGGGGGGGAATTACAGGGAAAATTTGGGATAATTCCTGAATAATTCTCTTAGAAGCCCCAAAGAAGGAGGGTTTAGGGGGGGCTGAAGCCCAAATTTGAGGCCTGACAGGACCTAAAGCTACTGGGGAAATCTGGGGAATCCTGGAGAAAACTGGGATAATCACAAGGAAAATTCAGAATAAATGTGAGAAAATTTTGGGAGAATACCAGGGAAAACTGGGATAATCCTGGGGTAACTCTGGGAAGACTCCAGGTGAGTTTGGGGTTGGAAAAACTTCTTCAAGCCCAGAGAGGATCTAATGGATAACAGGAAATTTCAAGATAATCCTGGGGAAAATTTGGATTATCCTAGAGAAAACTGGGACAATTCCAGCGGAAACTGGGAGAATTCAGGAATAACTCTGGAAAACCCCTGAAAGTGGGGAGGGGAAGGAGAGGGAGGCAAAGACACCCCCAAACTGTCTACTGAACTACTGACCCGTCTTTATTGGGGCCCTAAAGGCTACCAGGGAAATTTGGGGAATCCTGGGGAAAACTGGGATAATCAGGAGAAAAATTTGGGGTAACACTGTGGAAAGTTTGGGAAGACTCCACGTGTGGAGGGGCAGCTTGAACCTCCTTTTTTGAGGCCTCATCAGCCCTCAGGGCTCAGGGGAGGCACCCCCCACCCCGGCGCAGGGGGAGGGAAGTTCAGCTCTCTCCCCTCTTCTTTCCCTTTCCCCGTTTTTTGGGGCCGTTGTTCCCCCAAATTCCTGGGCCTGGGGGTGTCACGATGCAGGAGGTGGGGGCTCATTACCTGAGCCATGCTGTGGGAGCCTTTGGCCTTACTTCTCGCCCAGGTAAAGCTCGTTTGGGGTAAGAAAAGGTGGGATCAGTAAATTTTTATGGATTTTTGGGCGGGCTCCAGTACCCGCCACGGCGCCGCCATTCCTCCTCCTCCTCCTCCTCCTCCTCTTCCTCCTCCCGAGGGGGCCACTGGGGCAGGAAGGGGGGGAGGCAGGGCCGGGCTCCCCCCAAAAGCCGGGACCCCCCGAGCTGGGTGGGTGCTGGATCTGCGGGGACGGAGCTGAATCCAGAGGGATTCGCCTGGGGGAACAGTGGGAAAAGGGGATCAGAGGGGTCAGAGGGGGCCCAGAGGGGTCCAGAGGGGGATCAGAGGGGTCCAGAGGGGTCAGAGGGGGCCCAGAGGGGTCAGAGGGGGATCAGAGGGGTCCAGAGGGGGATCAGAGGGGTCAGAGGGGGCCCAGAGGGGTCAGAGAGGGCCCAGAGGGGTCAGAGGGGGATCAGAGGGGTCAGAGGGGGATCAGAGGGGTCCAGAGGGGGATCAGAGGGGTCAGAGGGGTCCAGAGGGGGATCAGAGGGGTCCAGAGGGGGATCAGGGGGGTCAGAGGGGTCAGAGGGGGATCAGAGGGGGATCAGAGGAGCCCAGAGGGGTCAGAGGGGTCCAGAGGGGGCCCAGAGGGGTCAGAGGAGCCCAGAGGGGTCAGAGGGGGCCCAGAGGGGGATCAGAGGGGTCAGAGGAGGCCCAGAGGAGCCCAGAGGGGTCAGAGGAGCCCAGAGGGGTCAGAGGAGCCCAGAGGGGTCAGAGGGAAGAACCTCGGGGTGGGAACCAGGGGGGCAACAGTGACACCCCACGAGTAATGTGGGGAGGTGTCCTAGGACAGGATGGCACTGGGGGGGACAATTCCTGGAACAGGTGTCCCAGGTCAAGGGGGAAAAAGGGAGCGCCAGGGGTGGGTGACTGTGGGGAGGGGGAGGTGGGGGCGGCTCTGGGCGCTCCCGAGGGTGTCTGTAACCTGCGGGGGCCGGAGGGGGCGGGGGGTGACACAGGAGGGGCCACCAAGGCGAGGGGTCTGGGGGGGGGTCACAGCCCGGGGTGGGCGGGGAGGGCACGGAGGGGCCGGGACACACGGAGGAGACCCCAGGGAGCGCGGGGGGAGATCCCGGGGAGGGGTCACACCGGGGAAAGGCCTGGGGAGGGGTCACACCGGGGATCGGGGCCGCCTCTCTTGTTAGGGACCTGCTCCCACCGCTAGCCCGCTCCCCTCCCGCCATCCCCCGTGGGAGCGGCCCCCGGTGCCGGGCGCGGTCCGGGCGGCCCTGAGGCTGCCGGCGGGTGCCGGGGGTGTGGCGGGGGGTCGGTGGGGGGGTCGGTCCGTACCTGCCGCGGCCCCTCCGCGCTCCGACCGCCCGAGCCCGGCCCCGCCGCCCCCCCGCCGCCGCCACCCGGAACCGGAAACCCCCGCCCCCGCTTCCGGGGCTGCGGGACGCCGGGCGGAAGTGAAGGCTGCCTTGCGCATGCGCAAAGCGGTGGCGGGACGGCGAGCGCCGCGCCGCCATAGTGGGGTGGGGAAGTTGCCATGGCAACGGCGCGGCCTGCACCCCTCCGAGAGCCCCCGGCCCTCCCTGGCCCACCCCCGGGGGAGGCGGGAGGGTCCCTCCCCTCGATCCCCCAGGACTCACCGCCATCGGGACCCACTACGGCCCGACCCCACCCCCGAACCCCCCGGTCTTCCCGGGAGCGGGACCGACACTCTCCCGCCGGCGGCGCCCTTCGCTGCCCCCACTCGCGACACACCCTTGGGGACCCCTGCTACAGCTGCCCTTTGAACTGCCCCCCTCACTCTGACCCCTTCCTTTGACGTCTCCCCTGGGACCCCATTTGGGGGCCGGTCCGTCCCTCTCCTCTGCCCCCCGTTATTGTCCCCTCCCCATCCCTCGGGCAAGCACCGGCCCTCCCCGCGGTGTCTCGGAACTGAGGGGGATATGGAAAGGGGGCACTGGGACTGGGGATACACTGGGAATGGGTGCAGGGACACAGGGGACAAGGGGGACACCAAACACTGGTGGGGGGACACACTGGGAATGATGGGGGGGACATTGGGGAGGGGGGGATACTCTGGGGACAGGGGGGACAATGGGACTAAGTTTGGGGAGCCTGGGAATGGGTGGGGGACACGCTGGGAGTGGATTGAGGGGACACTGGGAACGGGAGGACATATGAGGTCACCACTGTTCCCACAGATCCGGGGACACAGTCCTAACCCTGCCCCCTGCCCCCAGAACCCTCTAGGGCTCCTTCCTGAGTCCGGGACTTTGCTCCTTGACCCTTGGCGACGTGACCAGAGGAAAATTCCACCCTGGGGAGGGAAGAGGGAGAAGCCGGGAGAGCCTGATCCCAGGAAAAGTTTCTCCTGGGAGCACCTAATTCTGGGATCACCTGGTCCCAGGATCACCTAATCCCAGGAGAAGCTGGTCCTGGCAGCACCTGATCCTGGAAAATTCCAGCTGGCAGAGGTGAGTCCAGAGAGCCTGATGCCTGGAAAAACCCATCCTGGGAACACCTAATTTTGCAATCATCTTGTCCCAGAACTACCTCATTCCAGAAGAACATCATTCTGGAATCACTTTATCCCAGGAGAATTTCATCCTGAGAGAGCCTTATTTCAGGAGCACCTCATCCCAGGGAGAAGCTCAGCTTGGGATCACCTTATCCCAGGAGATCCTTGTCCTGGTATCACTTTATCCCAGAATTATCTCCTAGGAGAAGCTCAGGAGAAGCTCCTCCTGGGATTCCCCATCCTGCCACCTGCTACCAATCCCAGGCCCGGGGTCCCTTCTGGCGCATTTTGGGCTCTCCCTGTGTTCTCCTGCCATGGCTGAGCCCTCTGGGGCTGGGTGCAGCATCCCACTGGATGATCCCGGCCTGGACATCGCTGCTGGGGAGGAATTCCTGCAGGAAGTGTTCCAGATCCTCCTGGAGGAGGGCGTGCGGAAGAGCACGGATGTGACACAGAAGGTTGGAGCACTCGGCAGGGTGGGGGTCCTCAGTCCCATCCCATTCCTGTTTCTAGTCCCATTCTCAATCCCAATCCCATTCCTGTCCCCACAGGTGTGTGACTGGAAGGAGCCCCCTTGGAGGGGGTGAGGTTCCCAGTCTGTCCCTATTGCCTGTCCTATTCCCAGGCACTCCCTGTCCCAGTCTCAATCCATTCTCATTCCCAGTCATTCCCAGACGTGTGACTGGAAGCAGACATGGAAGGGGGTGGGGGTCACAATATTCCTCCTTTCCCAGTCCCATTCCCATTCTGGAACCCAGTTCCTGTCCTGTTCCCAATTGTGTTCCCAATAGAAGTCCCACTTCAGTCCTGTTCCAGTAGCTAGTCCCATTCCCAATCCTTTTCTCAGTCCCATTTCCTGTCCTGTTCCCATTCCAAGTCCCCTTCCCAATCTTAACACTGGGAAAAGGATTGGAAGTGGGACTGGGAGTGAGAGTAAACCCCAGTTGCAGTTCCATTCTCATTTCCAGTCTTGTTCCCAATCTTGTTTCCATTTCCAGTCCCGTTTGCAATCCCACTTCCAGCCCCATTCTCATTCCCATTCCCCGCTCTGTTCACAGTTCCAGCGCCAAGCCCATTCCCATTCTGGTTCCTGGTTCCATCCCCAGTCCCATTCTCAACGTCATTCCCAGCCCATTCCCTCTGTGCTTCCCAGTCATTCCCAGCCCATTCCCTCTGCGCTTCCCAGTCACTCCCAGTCATTCCCAGCCCATTCCCTCTGTGCTTCCCAGTCCCTCCCAGTCATTCCCAGTCCCTCCCAGTCATTCCCAGCGCATTCCCTCTGCGCTTCCCAGTCCCTCCCAGTCATTCCCAGCGCATTCCCTCTGCGCTTCCCAGTTCCTCCCAGTCATTCCCAGCCCATCCCCTCTGCGCTTCCCAGTCCCTCCCAGTCATTCCCTCTGCGGTTCCCAGTCCCTCCCAGTCGTTCCCAGCCCATCCCCTCTGCGCTTCCCAGTCCCTCCCAGTCATTCCCTCTGCGGTTCCCAGTCCCTCCCAGTCATTCCCAGTCCCTCCCAGTCATTCCCAGCCCATCCCCTCTGCGCTTCCCAGTCCCTCCCAGTCATTCCCAGCCCATTCCCTCTGCGCTTCCCAGTCCCTCCCAGTCATTCCCAGCGCATTCCCAGGTGTGTGACTGGAAGGAGCCGCAGGAGCTGCGGGAGCTGCTGGATCTGGAGCTGCGGAGCGACGGGGAGGGGCGGGAGCAGCTCCTGCAGCGCTGCCGGGACGTGCTGCGCTTCAGCGTCCGCACTGGTGCGCTCCCAGTACACACCAGCGCACACCAGTACCCATGAGTACAGCCCCGGGGCCGGCCCTCCTCCGTTTGGCACGGCACCTCCCACGTCCTGGTTCGGCCCCAGCGGTTCCCAGTGTGGCCCGTGGTGCCTCCCGGTGTTGAATATTGTGGTCCCTGCCGTGTTCCCCTCCATGTCCTCCCGATATTCTGTGTCTCCCTTGACTGCCCCTGTGCCCCCCCATTTCCCTCTGCATCCACTCCCCGAAATCGCCCATGTCCGTTCCCTCCCTACCCACCACTGATCCTTCATGTCCCCTGATCCTCCATGTCCCTCTTGTGTCCCCTACATCTCCCCTGCCCCCAGTTTTCCCATCTCCTCCCACCCCCCATTCTGCTCTCCATGTCCCAATCTCCTTATGACCCCGCCACGTCCCCTCTGAACCTCCCAAGTCCTTCCCTTATCTCCCATGTACCATCCCCACCCATCCCTCTCATGTTCCCCCCATTTCCCCCATCCCCTCCCCATCTCTCTCTGTCCCCTCCCATGTCCTCCCCTGACCACCCCATGTCCCCCTTCCCTGTGTTCCCCCAGGTCACCCCCGGTTCTTCAACCAGCTTTTCTCGGGGCTGGACCACCACGCCCTGGCGGGCCGGTTCCTCACCGAGACCCTCAACACGAGCCCGTGAGCCCCTGACACCCCCAAATGGGGGCTGGTGGGTGGGGGGATCCCCCAAAAACCTGCCATGACCCTTCCCTCTCCCAGATCTACCTGCGAGGAGCCCCTGGTGCTGATGGAGTGGGAGGTGCTGAGGGGAGGATGAAGTTTGGAGGGAGGGTTTTGGGCGTGTTGAGGAGCCCAAATGAGAAAGGACCTGCCAAAACCCTGTCCTGACTCCTCTGATCCAGCCCCCAGTGTTGGTGCTGATGGAGGCGGGGGTTCTGCTGGTGGGGGAAGGGTTTTGGGTGCTGAGTGGGAGGGTTTTGGGTGCTGAGGCGGTGGGGGAAGGGTTTTGGGTGCTGAGTGGGAGGGTTTTGGGGTGCTGAGGCTCCGGGGGAAGGCGTTTGGGGTTCTGATGTTTCAGGGGGAGGGGAACCTGTGACTCCTGCTGGACCCTTCCAGGTACACCTACGAAGTGGCCCCAGTGCTGGTGCTGATGGAGGAACAGGTCCTGGCCAAGCTCCGGGAGCTTGTGGGATGGAGCAGCGGCGATGGGATCTTCGCTCCCGGTATCCTGGACCCTTCCTGAGGGTTATCCCTGTCTCCCCTCTGCCCCTGGCAGCCTGTCCATGGTGCCCTGGGGTGAAACAAGGTCCCTGTCCTGGGCAGGGGGCTCTATATCCAACATGTTGGCCATGAACGTGGCGCGATTCCGGCGTTTCCCGGAGAGCCGGAGCAGAGGGAACTGGGACCTTCCTCGCCTGGGCCTCTTTGCATCCCAGGAGGTGGGAGTGGGGGCTTGAGGTCACCCCAAAACCTGATCCTCAGGGTCATCCCAATTTGGATCTATGAGGTCACCTCAAAACTAGTCCCTGGCATCATTCCAAACCTGGTCCTGGCATCACCCCAAAACCTGATCTGTAGGGTCATCCCAATTCTGATCCATGGGGTCATTCCAAACCTTATTCCTGGGGTCACCCAAAACCTGATCCCTGTGGTCATCCCAAATGTGTCCCCCTGAAATCACATGGAACCTGATCCCCTCAGTCACTCCAAATCTGATTCCTGGGAGCTCCACTAAACCTGATCCAGAGGGTCACCTAGATTCATCTCAAAACCTGATCCTGGCGTCACCCCGAAGCTGATCCTTGGAGATTGCCCTAAACCTGATCCATGGGGTCACCCCAAAACCTGGCCCATGGGGTAACCCTAAGTCTGGTCCCTGAGGTTACCCAAAATCTGGTTCCTGGGGTCTCCACAATCCCAGTCCTGTTTTCCTGCCCAGAGCCATTACTCCATCCTAAAAGGGGCTGCTCTCCTGGGAATTGGCACAGACAATGTTCACCTGGTGCGAACAGACAAGAGGTGGGTGCTGGGAGGTCCCAGGGGACCCCAGGTTCCAGGGGGTTCCTCCATATCTCCATCCCTGTCCCTTCCCCTCAGGGGGAAGATGATCCCTGAAGAGCTGGAGAAGGAGATCCAGAGGGTGAAAGCTGAGGTCAGGAGAGGCTGCACCCCCATGTCCCCAAAGCCCCTCAAACTCCCTAATGCCTCCCCAGCATTCCCAATGGCCTTCCCAATGTTCCCAAAGCTCCCTCAAAGTCCGTGTGTCCCACTCTAAGTCCCCAAAGCCTCTCCAGTGTTCCCAAAGCACTTCCCATGTCCACAAAACCTCCCATGTCCCCCAGTGTCCCCCCAATTCTCCTCAAATCTCCCCAGTGTCCCCCCAAATAACCTGAATCTCCCCCAATGCCCCCCCCACCATTGGCCCTTCAACTCTCCAATACACCCAATGTCCCCTGTCCTCTCCAGGCTTCCTGTCTCCCCTTGAAGTGAGTCCCCTGCCTAACCCAAAGTCCTCTGTACCTCATTTCCTGCACCCACAATGTCCCCCTGTATCCTCCAGCCCCCCCAGTCTGCCTCCTGAGCCCCCTCAAAGTCCCCCCAAATGCCCACCCAGGGCTCAAAGCCCCTTCTTTTCTGTGCCACCGTCCTGGCCAGCTTCAACCCTCTGTGTCCCCCTGTCCCCTATTTCCGAGATCCCTCCAAGCGTTCCTTGATCAACCCAAACCCCTGCAGATCCCCTCCAAATTGCCCCCAAAGCTTGCCCAAGTGCTCCTTCAGGACTCAGAGCCCCTTCTTTTCCTGTGCCACCATCCTGGGCACCTTCAACCCTCTGTGTCTCCCTGTCCTCCATCCCCCAAATCCCCATCAAGCCTCCCCAGGTTCCCCCCAAGCCCCCTCAGATCCTCTGCAAATCCCCTTGAACCCCCCCCAGACTCCCCTCCAACCCTTCCCAAAGCTCCTCCAAGTGCCCCCCACCCAAGATTTGGAGCCCCTTCTCTGTCTCTGCCACCATCCTGGCCACCTTTGACTCCCTGTGCCCCCCTGCCTTCTACCCCCTTCCATGCCCCCTGCACCCCCCGATACCCCCAGACCCCTCCCTAATTCCCACCAGGGCTCAGAGCCCCTCTTTGTGTGTGCCACGAGTGGCACCACTGTCCTGGGTGCCTTCGACCCACTGAACGCCATCGCCGACATCTGTGCCCGCCACGGGCTGTGGCTGCATGTGGACGTGAGTCTGGGGGGTCCCTGGCTGCGGGGGAACTCAGGGGTCCCCCCGTGTGTGCTGATCCCCCTTTTCCTGCAGGCAGCATGGGGAGGCAGCGCCCTCCTGTCCCCTCAACTCCGTCACCTCCTTGCCGGCATCCACAGGTGTGTCCTTCCCCCTGCTCCCACAAAAGCCTCCCACCCCTCCGCCTCTGAGTTTTTGGGGATACCCTTTTCCCCACAGGGCCCCCCCAAACTCTGCTGTTCCTCCCCACCAGGGCTGACTCGGTGACATGGAACCCCCACAAGCTGTTGATGGTGGGATTGCAGTGCTCGGCATTCCTGCTCCGTGACAGCTCCGTAGGTGCCCCTCGTTATGGATTCCTGCCCCTCGATGCCTCCTGGGCCCACTCATTAATCCTGGTGCCCCCTGCCCCTCCTAGGGGCTCCTGCAGCGCTGCCATGGCGTGGGGGCCTCGTACCTGTTCCAGCGGGACAAGTTCTACGACGTGTCCCTGGACACAGGGGACAAGAGCCCCCAGTGTGGCCGCCGTGCCGATGGCCTCAAGCTCTGGATCCTCTGGAAAGCCGTGGGAAGCCGAGGGCTGGCCCAGCGTGTGGAGAGGGCGTTCAGTGCTTCTCGGTGAGCCCCGGGGCTGGGGGAACACTCCACCCCCCCAAACTCGGCTTCACCCCTTTGCTCCCCACAGGTATCTGTTGGAGCAGGTGAAGAGGAGGGAGGGATTCCAGCTGGTGATGGAGGTAAGGGTGATGCTGGAATGTGGGATGGTGGATATGGACACCTAAGAGTCCTGGAGGTTGTAATGCCATAGGTTTAAATCATCCTGGAGGTTTAACTCCCAGGGGATTAATCCCAAAGGTTTGAATCTCCAAGGTTTAAATTCCAGAGTTTTCAATCCCAGAGGCTGAAATCTCAGAGGTTTGAATTGTCACATTTTAAATCTTGGAGGTTTAAATCCCTGAGGACAAATCTGAGAAGTTTAAATCCCAGAATCTGAGATCCTGGAGTTTGGAATTCCAGAGGTTTAAATTATCCGGGGTTGAAATCCCAGAGGTTTAAATTCTGGAATTTTAATAATCCTGAAAGTTTCCATTTTGGAGGTTTAAATCCTGGAGGATTAAATCCTGCAGGTTCCAGTCCCAGACAATTAAATACACATGACTGAATTCCTGGGGGTCTGAATCCCTGTCAAATTCTGGGAATTGGGTGAATGGCCATGATCTCCTTCCTCTTCCTGCAGCCAGAATTTATCAACCTCTGCTTCTGGTTCATCCCACCCAGCCTGCGGGGCCAGGAGAGCTACCCAGAATTCTGGGACAAACTGGGAAAGGTGAGCCCAGAATTCCAAATTCCCCCACCACCAACAGTCCGCCAAATCCCAAAAAATCACCCAAAAATAAAACCAAAACCCTCCTGAAATTGTGCTTCCCCCTAGGTGGCCCCAGCCATCAAGGAAAGGATGATCCGGAGAGGCTCCATGATGGTGGGATACCAACCCCATGGATCCCACGTCAACTTCTTCCGGCACATTATCACCAATCCTGCTGTCACCCGCCACGACCTGGACTTCTTCCTGGATGAGATACAGGAATTGGGATGGGATCTGTGAACTCCCAAAAACCCCTGTGAAAGACCCCAAAACCTTCCCCCCACCCCTGAGGAAGAGGAGCAGAGCCTTGATTTCCTCCTCACATCCCAAAATTGGAAATGACCCCAAAATTCCACGCTTATGGAATAAAAGAACATTTAATGGTTCTGATCTGATAATAATTTGATATAACCCCACCCTCAAAATGGGGCTTGTGGTGTAGGGGGTCCCTCAATTCCCCTGGAACCTCCAGAGGAGGTTGTGGATTCTGGGATCAGGATGTAGTGGCCTTGTAACTCTCCTGACATTCCCATGACTTCTTGAAGCTCCAGAGGCTGGAATTTGTATGGAAGAGGATCTGTCAGCACCCAAAAAACTCTTGGGAGACTACTGCAACACCTGCTGCGTCCATCCCTGAGGAAGTGGAGCAGAGCCCACACTTCCTTCTGGAATCTTTAAATCAGTAGTAAAGATGGATGTTCTCGTCGCTTGATCCCAAAATTCCACACTCATGGAATAAAACAGCATTTAATAGTCCCAATTTTATATTAATTTGATATCCCACTCCCCTCCCCCAGAAATGGAGTTTAGGGGTTCCTCAATTTTCCTGGAGGCTCTGGAGGAAGTCGAGGATTGCAGGATCGAGCTGGGCATGCTCAAGGCAGGCTAGGAGCTGGGACGCTGTGGCTTCATGTCGCTCCCGGCGCTGCCATGCCCGCAGCATCTCAAAATTCCACAGGACAGGATTGCTGGGATTTTCCTCCTGGATCTGTTCCAGCCGGCTCCGCTCCAGCCCTAGATGCAGAATTCCCACCTCCTGCCACTCTCTTCCCAATCTTTGGGCAACTTTCATCAAATCCTTCTCCGTCAAACGCCGGGGATTCACGGGTGGAGCTGGACTCCCTCCAGCATGATGTCCTGAAGTGGGGTCCTCCCTCACATTGGGGGTGTCCCCGTTAGGTTCCCACGGAATTTTCTTCGGGATTTGCTCTTCCAGGGGCAGCTGGAAGCGCTGGATGAGGTCAAGGCGGCCGAGCTGCCGCAGGATCCCAGCGGTCACACCCAGGGAATTCCCCGGGAAGCGCTGGAGGAGGATCCGGCACAACTCGGGGCGCGATGCCGGGAGCAGAAGCCCGGCAGGAATTTGCTCTTCCAGCAGGAACTTCAGGTTCTGGAATTGCTCCTCCGGGAGCGCCTGGTGCACCTCCAGCAGTGTCGCCCGCTCGTCCCTTGCCATCGGGGCAGAAAATCCCGCAGGGAAATGGGGTTACTCCTGGGACACAAGGGTTGGGAGAGAGGAGTTACCATGCAGCCCAAAAAGTGGAGGGAAAAGGGGGCCACCCTGGGCCCCAAAAATTCGGGGTGGAGGTGAAAAGGGGTCACCGTGTGCTCCATAAATTGGGGGTAGATGGGTCATTCTGAGGGCTTTCCTGGTGCCCCCGGTGACCTCACCCTGCCCCGGGGCTGAACCCTCCCAGTGTCCTCCTAGAGCACCCCACCCTGCCGGGGGCCTGAGACTGCCGAGTATCACCCCAATGCCCCCCGACCCTGCGGCTGGGTCTCCCCAGTGCCTCCCCATTCTTCCTGGGCCTGGACCCCCGATGTCACCCCAGTGCCCCCACTCTGTCCTGGCTCCCCGCGATGTCCCTGCTGCTGTCCCCGCCGTGTGGCTAGTGCCCTTTGTTCCGGGTGCCCACGATGTCGCGGCGCCCTCGGATTCCCGGATTTCCCCCGTTCCCTCCCTCCAGCCTCCGCTCTCCCCGCACTCTCCCCGCGCTCTCCTGCTCTCCCCACACTCTCCCCGCACTCTCCCCGCTCTCCCCACACTCTCCCCGCACTCTCCCCGCTCTCCCCGCTCTCTCCCCACACTCTCCCCGCTCTCCCCGCTCTCACCGCGCTCCGTTCCTTCCCGCGCTCTCGGGGCGCGGAGGGGGTTCGGCGCGGGGCGTGGCCTCCGCTCCCGCCACAGCGGCTGCTTGGAACGGGCCCGGGGCCGTCCGGAGCGGCCTTTGGGGCTTCCAGGGGCGGTTCGGGGCTGCGAGGAGGGAGTCTTGGGCCCAGTGCCCAGCCCCAGGTGCCGCAAGTGGCCCCAGTATCTCCCAATAATCCTCGATCCCCCCCAGTCCTTCAGTCACTTCCCTCAGTGCCCCCAGTAACCTCCAATTCCCCCAAACCCTCAGTATCCCCCCGTTCCCCAGTGGTCCCGTCAACCCCCAATCCCCTGATACCCCCAATCCCCCAAGTCCTCCCAATGGTCCAGTCCTCTCAGTATTCTCCAGCCTCTCCGTTCCCTCAATTCCTGTCAGTAACACTGAGTAACCCCTCAGTAGTTCCTGCAATTCCTTCGTCCCTCCAGTATCCCCCAACACACCCCAGTCCTCCCCAGCATCCTCCAGTGCCCCCCAGGCCCACTAGTATCCTCCCAATTCCCCAGTTTTCCCAATCCCCCCAGTACCCCAGTCCACCCAGTATTTCCCAATCCCCCCAGTAGCCACAGAATCCTCCAATTCCCCATTCTCTCCATTATCCCTGACACCCCAGTATCGCCCGATTTCCCAGTCCCCCCAGAAATCCATTATCCCCCAGTCTCTGCAGTCACCCCAGTATCCCCCAATCCCTCAGTAGCCACCATATCCCCGTGCATCCCCCAACACCGAAAGAGAGCAATTCCCCCTCGCTCCCCTCATCCTTTTCTTTTTCCACCTTCCCTTCCCAGAGCCAAAGTGACACCCCCCCCCCCCCAAATATAGGGGGTCCCTCCATGGGGAGGTGGGGGGGAGGCTGTGGGGTGGGACGAGGGCAGTGCCGTCATTTCACCGTGTGTGCGGCCCCACGGACCCCTGGGGAGCCCCGCTGCTTGAGGGCCCCCCCACGGGTGAGACCTTTCCACCTCCCCCAGAGGAGACCTCTGGCCACTGTAATGAAATAGAGATTTTTGGAATTCACTTAAGTTAACAAAATTAATTAAGCGTTTATATTTTAGTTTGTAGTTATGTGTTGAATTTTAACCTTTTATTTAAGAGACCTCTGCCATAAGTACAAAAGGGCATAAGAAAATGCAAATTTCTGAAGCTTATTGCACAAAGAACAATGCCTCAGCATGCAAAGAACCCAGATAAGTTTCCCTGTCTCCAGGCCTACCAAGACTGACAGACATACACAGATAAGCACCGAAGGAACCAAAAGCACACGCGCAGAGAGGAAGAGTTCAAAAGTTCATCCACGAAGAAGACCACGATCTTCAGCGCCAAGAGACCACCATAGAACCCCTCAGGACCACCACGGCAAACCACACATGCCCAGAAGGGCGTGGACCTATTTAGCATGAGAGGCGAGGACAGGTGGGGCCAGGGGTTGAATATGCATAAAAAGTTGTGCAATGTACTGCATATGGAACACCTTTGTGAATGAAAGTGTGGCTCAGACCGAGGCTCTGCACACAAGTTTTCAGAGTTATTTCACTTCTGCCGGGCACTGGCTATACATACCCACTTCATAACCACCCCAGATTGTGGAGTCTTTTTATTTATTCTGCGTATCGCTTCAGTAAGAAGTTCACCCCTGGAATCGCAGAGGTGGGAGCTTTTTTTGGGGTCCATTAGGGACCTGCAATGGGGGGGGACCCTGCCCCCGTGGTACGGAGAGACCTTAAACCTGAGGGCACGACCCGGGTCCCGGGAGGTCACAGGGATGTGGGGAGCTTGTGGTCCCATGCTGTGGAGGCACCCTGATCCTGGAGTATGGAGGTGACCCCATCCCAGGGTAAGGGAATCCTAGGAATGGGTGGCCCATTCCCATGGCACAGGGGTACCTCAATTCTAGTGTAAGGGGGGACAGAGATGTGAGAGAAACCTGTTCCCATTGTGTGGGGTACCCCAGTTCCAAGGTATTCCTATTTCCCATGCCCCAGGATACATGGGTGTCACATTCCTGTGGCCTGGGACCACTTCTAGGGTCTGGGGGTGCCCCAGGGATGTGGGGGTGTCCCAGTCCCATTGAATCGGGTACCCTGATCCTGGAGTATGGGGATTCCCCAATCCCAGGGTACGGGAATCCCAGGAATGTGGGGTTGTCCTATGCCCATGGTGTGGGGTTCCCTGTTCCCAGGGTATGGGGCTGTCCCAGTTCCAGGGTAAGATGGTGCCCTGATCCCACAGCTCAGGGGTACCACAGTCCTGGGATGCAGCAATGTCTTATTCCCATGGAATGGCGGTATCCCAGTTTTGGGGTACAGGGATGTCCCTTTCACATGGAATGGGATACCCCAATCCCAGGGTATGAGGGTGGCCTGATCCCAGGATATGGCGGCACCACAATCCCAGAGTTCAAGGTCAATATCACCTGATTTGGGGGTGCAGGGTTCTAATCTCATGACATGGGAATGCCCCAATATTGGGATGCAGGGTTATGGGAATGGGATTTTGGGGTGTGAGAATGCCCCAGTCACATCCTTATTTTGGGGTGTGAGAATGTCCCAAACTCACATATAGGGATGTCCAGTATTAGGGTACAGGCTTGCCGCAAACCCATGGTATGAGGGTGTCCTGGTTTTGGGGTGCAGGGGCATTTCTGGGTACCCCAACTCCATCCCTGGTTTCCAGAGGGACTTTTGGTGACACCACCCCTGGTCTGTCCCAGCCCCTGGCCCCCCTTGCACCCCAATCCCAGACCCTTGTCTGGGTGGCAATGAGGGGCTTGGGGGGAAATGAACTCTGGCTTTGGAATATGATAGGGATGGGGGTAGGAAAGGGAAGGGAGGAGGTGGCAACAGGGATGGAGAAGTGGGAAAAGGTATGGAGAAGGCTTAGAGAGGGTGGAGAAGGGGAAGAGGACATTAGATCACTTCTTTGAATCATAAGTATTTTAGAAACCACTTAGAAGACAGCCTTTCTTTGGGAAGACCTCTTTTAGTAGAAAATATTGGAGAAGAGCTGGACCCAGCACTTGAAAAGAAACATCATTAAAACAGGTTCAGCCAACAAGGTAAAAATAAAACAAATGAGCAAACATATGTAAATTCCCCTTTCCACCCTTCCCCTCCCCAAAACTTCTCCTTAGCAAAATAACTCCTAATAAATATAGGACTATAAAAATTAAACTCATTTAAATTTCATCAATACTAACGAAAGAAGATAAAAGGTAGGGTTTAAGTTCACAAATGGTTAATATATTTAATGCATAGAGTTCCTTATTCCTTTGCTTATGACAATTTTTAGAAGTTGAAATAATGTTTGAATGGGCCATTTAAGGTGGTCCTGGACTGTTCTTAACAAAGTTTTTGCATCAGATGTATGATTTAAAACTGGATTTTTATGCCTTTAAGCAGAAAAATGTAACCTTTTTTTCCTATATGCAGTATCTGAAAATGTGTGTATTGGCTCTTTATATTTCAAGACTTTTTTTTAACCTTTTTTAACTTAAGGTAAAAGTTGGTGATAAGGAAGTGGATGTTATGAATGGCTTCAGACTTTACATTACTACAAAACTGCCAAATCCTTGTTACTCTCCTGAAATTAGTGCTCAAACCTCCATCATTGACTTTACTGTAACCATGAAAGGTCTTGAAAATCAACTCTTAGGCAGAGTCATTCTCACAGAGAAACAGGTAAAATAATTTGTTGTATCTCTTTTCCTGTCTGTAGTTCTTATATTTACCTGTAGAATATTTTACATTAATTTATTACTCTCTATACCAATATTGCAAGGTAACTTTCTGGCTCTCTCTATTGTGATTATTCTTGATATAACCTATTTGTAATGGTTTAAAAAGTGGCACAGAAGCAATTGACTCGTTCATGTGGAAGTTTCTCTGTCTCTTTATTGTTGCAACTGTGCTGTATTAACCTTATTTTTCCTGCCTCAATGAGTTATTACCTTATGAGAATGGCCTGTGAAAAGCAAAGGGGCCCGAAATCAAAACTGATGTTCTGTCTACAAGCCCTGGAGCTCATGGCAACATAACCTAATGCAAAGAATTCAGACTTAGTTATTTCCTTGCTCAAGGGAAAATGGGCCACCTACTGACATACCTTTTGACATTGCAGATATATTAGTTGAGGAAATCCAGGTTCAAGATGCCAGTCCCAATTAACATGCCACACGGAGTTCTGGAGGGAGGCTGGTTGGTACCTTTTAAACTATGGAACAGCTAATCCCTGTAGGTATAAGGTCAGGCAATGTTCACATTATAGGAAACACTATGCAGCTATGACTCTGTATTTACTAAGATTTTGGCAATAGTTTCAGTTGACCTTCACTAGAGAGGAAGGACAGGAATATCTTTGTTTCCTTTCGTGGCATCTGTTGAGGTTCTCCCATCATTCCAATACCTCCCTCTGCCCCGCCAGTGCAAGATTTTTCTTGTTAATAGACTCAGTCATCTTGTTCATGTTGAGTAGTTGCATTTCATTCCCAAACAGTGCATGGATCTCGTGAGAAAAATCACACTCAATCTGTTAAGGTCTGTTTTTTTATCAGACAGCTTCATTGCACCATCAGCTCCCCTTCAACCACTGATAGCTTGTCAACCCACTATGTAAAGAAATTATCACTGTCTATGTAAAACACTCTGTGATGTGTATATTCACAAAGCCTTATGCCAGACTTCACTTCTTGGGCCTTGAAGTATAGTACATTCCTCCAGGAGACAGTTTATTAAATTCCTCCAGTCATTGCTGTTGCTGTGTGCTTGCTTGGAGGACACAGGAAAGGGAGGAGCTAGACTTTTCTCAGAGGAGCCAAGAAGTAGATGGAGAACTAAGACTCATGTTGGAACATGGAGAATTCTGATTAGATATGAGGGAAAATATAATTACATCAAGAGTGGTCATGCCCAGGAGTAGATTAACCAAGGACTTTGTGGGATTTCTGTTTTGGGAAGGGTTCAAGATTCACCTGGACATTGCACTGAGCAACTGAGCTGTTTAGGTCCGAGCAGGGGTTGAACTAGTTAATTTCTGTAGGTGCCTTCCAAATTAAAATTATTCTGCTGTTCAATGGCCTCTTTGTCACTAAGAGGGAATGTCTAATAAATGGACATAGGGTGCTCTCTCTACCAACTTCTCAGAGTGTTATGCTCACTACTGCTTTGTTTGAAACCCCCGGGGATATTTCCTCTAGATAAATGACAAGTGGACAACTTGACAGGCAGGGGAACTTCTACAGAATATACTTAACCATGTTGCAGTTTTCTTGGTCTCTCTTTATACACCTTGTGGTTCAAGGTTTCCTGAGAAGTCAATTTGAATACATCACATCCAAACACTTTCCTATGATGTCTAATGATGCATCTTTGGGAATTTGGGGGTTTCCCTCTTTGGTGTCTGGATTCTTACTACCTTTTGTAGCCTTTGGTAGGAGAGTGGTGGAACTATTTTACTGTGAGAAAGTTTGCCAAATGATTTGAGCAGTATGACTGCTTGGTGATATCCAGTGTTACAATGTATGGGCGGAACTTCTGTCCCAGAAAGAGAAGAGATTATTTATTTGAAATCAGAGTTCTTCAAGATTTTGATGCACATTTCTATCATTCTTCCTATTCTACCATCTTTTATATGGTTGTGGTCTTAGAATGAATTTCTTTCCTTCCTTTTCCAGCAAGGAAAAGGAGCATGGTATTTAAAATTTCTGCAAAGTCTGGCTCTCTGTTGTCTGCTATGTCCATTAAAAGAATCTTTGTCACATATATCTCACAGAATTAATTGTTTACTGATAGGAACACTAGTACTGATTTCTTATTTTCCACCAGAATGTAAGCCAATTGCAAGATACAAGTGAAGCATAAGGATAAGCATACAGCTGGTAGATCTGTATAAATTTGATTCTCCTTTATTTCCTGGAGTAATAGGATTTGAGAGATTTGATATATGTCTGAAGGTATTATAGCTTATGATATTTAAATGATATCATTATTTTGATACATTGGCTGTTATGTAATTTGACAAAAACCTTGTTTTTTTAGTGTCATAGGTAAGTCAGATTAGTAGTGGAGTTATAATATGCAATAACTTTATGGTTTTTTGAATTTTCACATTCATATATCAAGATTTTTGCTGCAAAAAGGCTTGAGTTTTGTAAGGAACGGTTGATGCAAATTCTTTTACTTGTGAATTATTTTGTGAGAGGATGATATAAGCTATGTAGCAGCTTTCATATTTTATGAATATTAACAATAAATAGCATTCTTTGGTACAGTTGGCAAAATGTCATCTGCTTGTGAAATGAACTCCATAAAACAGGATCTGAAATAGTCTCTTTGGTGCAAGTTCCTTGAATTTATGTACATGATAACTTGGTTTATTTTTTCTGCATTCTTGGTGTTATGACTGGAAATTTTTGAAGCTATGAAGAAAGCTTTCAACTGTTTACACTTTTTCATCTGCAAAAAGCATTTTAAGAGCTTAATAGATGAGCTTAAGAGCTTTTTAGTAAGGTTTTCATCTAGGGTTACTTCACTTTAGCTTGGTGAACTGTCTCCACCTTGTTTCCCAGGCTCTTGTG